TGCTCGCCTTGGAGCTTCCCGGCAGCCCTCAGGTTGGCCGTTTTTGTGAACCCACAGTCCAGGTCAACTCTTCCTGTGTCTGACCAGGAGTTGGGAGGTTTGGGGGTACCCGGGCCCACCCTCTATTCCGGGTTCCAGCCCAGGGCCCTGTGGAATGCAGCTGTCTTGAGTGCCTTCTGGAACAGCTGTGTGACAGCTACAACTCCTTGGGTTACTTCCCCATGGCTTCCTCCCAACACCTTCTTTATCGTCACCATAGGACCTTCCTCCTGGTGTCTGATAATGCTTGTACTCCAGCAAACAGTATACGTTCTCACTCTCAGCTCCTAGCGCCTCTTGCTCCCAGCTCCTCACATGCACATCACAAACTGAAGGGAGTTCCTTTTTAAAACCCAGGTGCCCTGATTAGCCTGCCGTAATTGATTGTAGCAGCTTCTTGATTGGCTGCAAGTGTTCTAATCAGCCTGTCTTAATTGTCTCCAGAAGGTTCTTGATTGTTCTAGAACCTTCCCTGTTATCTTACCAGGGAAGAGGGACCTACTTAACCTGGGGCTAATATATCTGCCTTCTATTACTCTCCTGTAGCCATCTGGCCCGGCCCTGTCACACCTGCCACTTATTCATTATTTCAGTGGGTGACCCTGATTCTTTAGTTATGTGAAGGAGTAAATAATGCTTTCTTATTTACTTTCTCAACACCAGTCATGATTTTATAGACCTCTCTTATATTCCCTCTTAGTTGTCTCTTTTCCAAGCTGAAAAGTCCCAATCTTTCTAATCTCTCCTACTATGGAAGTTGTTCCATACCCTTAATATTTTTTGTTGCCCTTTGTATCTTTTTTCTAATTCTAAAGCATCTTCTTTTTTAAACGGGGTGACCAGAACTGCATGTGGTATTCAAGATGTGGGCGTACCATTGATTTATATAGTGGCATTATGATGGTTACTGTCTTATTTTCTATCCCCTTCCTAACATTTTTTTACTGCAGCTGTACGTTGAGCGGATGTTTTCCCACTAGAACTTTCTCTTGTGCTCTACAGTGATCCAGCTATCAATGTATTTGAATAATTACAGAGATTTGAATAATTTTCATTCATACAAGGCTCAAAGGGTTTGCTTTTGATTTGGAGTGTCGTGCCCAGTGTGTGCAAAATGACAAGTTGCTGCTACCCTAACAGTGTGGTGTGAAATCCCACCTCCTCCTTAGCTTTATTTCTGGGTGTGTGTGTTTTTTAGCTGCTTTGGAAGTTCGTTTAAACAGACAAATAACTTTATTTCCTCATCACTAAACTTGTTTCATAGTCTAATGTTAACTTCTCTGAAAGGAATCCAGACATATATTGTATATGTAGTCAAAATAATACTTAAATGCAAGAGAGATGGTGCAGAGAATTACTGCTAGAAGCAGTATCATTTCATCTTTATGAAAATATAATCAAGGCAAAAAACAAGACACCGACGGGAGCTCTTTTGATTATGTATTTATTATTTTGTATTGCTGTTGTGCTGCGGGGTGTTGGTGGCTGCCAGCAAGTGTGTTTGACCTATCGGCAGTCAGAGACGTCGCTGAAGCTGACCGGTGTGTTAGCCACCATTCATTCATGCTAACTGAGAGAGCAATTAAATATTCCTTTGTTTAGTGATTGCTGAAACAATAGTAGCCACCCCAACTCTAAGTCCAGCATGGAAGGCCTGACAAGAACTAACTCAGATTTCCCAGGGACTGATTGGTGGAGCTGTATGTGTCCGTGTATATCAGTATGAGAAAGGGAGGAGAAAGCCAGTGATGCGTGGCCCTGAGAAGGAGCAGAGACAGAGCTCCTTGGGGTACAGGATGGGCTGGAAAGCAGGCTTGGATTTCTGGGCACAGAAACTGCCGGCTGCTGTTTGTTTCTACTGTGTTCAGGGAAGCAGAACTTCATGGATACTCTTTGTCAATAAACAACATTGTACCAAAGAAATAAGTAACTTGTATTCTGAATTTCTCCCCCTAAAGGAAACAACCTCGCAAAGCCCCAAATATTCGCTAACTACTCAAGTCAAGGGGCATCATTATGATAGGACCCAGAGGCCCTAAGTTCATGATCCCATTGTGTTAGGCACTGTACAGAAACATAGTAAAAGACAGTTCCTGTCCCAAAGAGTTTACAATCCAAATAGACTAGAAAGATAAAAGATGTATTTGTTATTCTCATTTTATAGATGGGGAGCTGAGACACTGATGTGTTAAGTGACTTGCCCAGGGTCTCACAGGAAATGTTTGGCAGATCTTCTGAGTCCCGGTCCAGCACCTTAACCATAAGACCATCATTTCTATCTTTCCTTTTACTCCACAGATGCTTCTGTATTTGTACATTGGTTAGGACAATGGGCCCTGATTACCACTGGGAACTCTGAGCATTGCCACATATAAATAATAATAATAATAATGAGAACGAATGCATTTCAGCTGTACGTTTTCATTCCACGTATTGCATTGTCGCATGCACTCATCTTTGAGCCAAAGCTGCAGTAATTATTGGTTAAAAAGGAATAATCTTTTAATTAGGAAATGATTCTTTTCTGTTGTGATCACTGTTCTTGCTTTGTTTTGCTGAGCAAGGAGGAGAAATTGCAGAACCTTTTGAGCAGAGAAAGAAAGGTGTTGTCAGAGCAAAGAGAAAGCTGCAGGTGTGGGGGAAGCACAATAGTTAATTTTTTTCTGTCCTCCTCCCCTTCCTCTTTGAAACACTGGTTTAAAAAATAAAAGTTCATGGGGAAATAATTGGGTTTTCTTTCCAGACATATTTTTAAAATATGAAGTTTACATAGTGTAACGACTACCTCGTACATTACTGCAATAACGTAATACTTGCTTATGCAAGCAATTGTGAATATAGCCCTTTATATGATGTTTTATGTGCTCATGCTTCATTTTATGGCACATTAATTAATATCCAATGGCAAATGAGGTTTTGGTGATAATACTGTGCGCTTAACTGTTGCACACACTTCCTCTCTAAGTGTTGTATGCTTCTGTTTACATTCCTACCTTTTCGTCTGTCTTGTCTATTTAGAGTTTGACTACGCAGGCAAGTTTTACCGGCTACAGTGATATAATTATACCACTCCAGATATAGTTGTGCCTGTATAGCTCTCCCTATGGATGCTCTTATTCCAGTATAGAAGAGGCTTTTTTCAGTTTAGCTTAAACCCCTGCCAAAACGATTTGAGCTAAACCAGAAAAAAAACACCTCTTATACCGGAAGAATGTCTATGGAGGGGTTACACTGGTATAACTGTGGAGATTTAAATTCACATCTTAGCTTATGGTGTAGTAACTTTCCCGAGTAGACAAGCCCTTAGATCGGGGTGGGCAAACTTTTTGGCCTGAGGGCCACGTCTGGGTATAGAAATTGTATGGCAGGCCATGAATGCTCACGAAATTGGGGGTTGCAGTGCCGGGGAGGGGGAAGGTGCATGCTCCGGCTGGGGGAGCAGGCTCTGGGGTGGGGCTGGGGATGAGGGATTTGGGATGCAGAAGGGTGCTCTGGGCTGGGGCCAAGGGGTTTGGAGGGCAGGAGGGGGGCGGGGGTGGGGGAGGGCTCGGGGTGCAGGCTCTGGGCAGCGCTTACCTCAGTCAGCCCCCAGAAGCAGAGGCATGTCCCCCTCACCGGCTCCTACGCGGAGGCGCAGCCAGGCGGTTCTGCAAGCTGCCCTGTCCGCAGGTGCTACCCCTGCAGCTCTCAGAAGCAGCAACATGTCCTCCTCCAGCTCCTACACAGAGGCGCAGCACCGTCCACGTGGCTCTGTGTGCTGCGCTGTCCACAGGTGCCACCCCTGCAGTTCCCATTGGCTGCGGTTCCCAGCCAATGGGAGCTGCGGGTGGCAGTGCTTGGGGCAGGGGCAGCGTGCAGAGCCCCCTCGCTGCCCCTATGCGTAGGAGCCAGAGAGGAGACATGCCGCTGCTTCCGGGAGCCGCGTGGCAAGCCCCTGACCCCACTCCTTAGCGGGAGCTCGAGGGCCAGGTTAAAAGTTCTGATGGGCTGGACGTAGTAGTTTGCCCATCCCTGCCTTAGATTGCAAGTCTTTTGTGGTAGGGGCTGTCTCACTATGTGTATGTACAGTGCATAGCAGAGTGAGGCCTACATTTTTATCTGGGGCTCCTAGGCACTACACTAATAGATAACAATAATATCTCTAGTGTAATAAACCCTAAATATGTTTTACTGAACTGTAAACGTAAGAGGAAAGTGTGACCTATGATTTCTTTTTCTTATTTGCAGGCGAGCCATAACTGGAGGAAAATGCCACAGTATACAGATCCTCACTCCAGTGCACAAGACCTATGCAACACCTAAGCCATATTTTGAGGCTCAGATGGTGCATAGTAGAGCCCTGCCCGGGACTGTTTTAGAGCCCTACAGAGGGATTGGGATCCCGCAGGACCCACTGCCAAAATAGTGGGAGCAGGATACAAAAATAGTCTGGCACAGGGCTCTAGTGCATAGACTTTGTACTGGCCCTCCATGTAAGGGTGAATCTCTCACCATGTTCATATCTTTATTTGATATACTGTGTGGTCAAATTTTGCCCCTACTGGTGCAGGCAGGGGGAGCAGAGAGGCTGCATAGTGAATCCGGTACTCCAGGAATGACTCTGGTGAGGGCAGGATCCCACAAGGCAGTTGGCGGAGTGACATGCTGTGGAAATGCACTGTGCTGGTCCTCTCTTCTTGTGAGTCCCTGACTTTTGATCATGGAGAAAGACAGTATAAATGCTAGTCACCAGGGGTTTGATCATGTCCTCTAATCTCAGGCCAGACTAGCTGGACCACTTCAGTGCAACAGAGTTTTGTTGTCTGCTGTTTCCATTGTGGAAGAGGTTTCTTACCACCCTCCTTTATCTCTTGTGCTCCAGAAGACAAGATTTAGCCCTCCTTGATGTTTTTCCTAACATATATGGGTAGATAAATAGATTTTTTTATTGTTCTTACTCTTCATTATTTCCCTGTGTACAGAAGAACTCAAGGAGAAACTAAAGGAGTATGTTGACGAGGTGAATATGCGGAAGCCTGGATTCATCAAGGTGGTCCGACACAGCAAGCAAGAGGGGCTGATCCGGTCTCGAGTTAGCGGATGGAGAGCAGCCACAGCACCAGTCGTTGCGCTCTTTGATGCTCATGTGGAATTCAGCGTGGGATGGTATGTATCTTGCTGCTTCTTGCAATTATTTGTAAATGATGGCATGATATATATCCAGCATATAGGGGGATGAAGTTATATGAAGATCTTTTGACACAGATTTAAATACAGAGATAATTATGAAAAGCTTATGGTTTGTAATATGCAACATAGTCATAATCAAGATTCCATTTGTTAGAACTGGGTTATTGTCTGCTGTAGTGGTTATTCCGGTAAATACATGTTACTAAATTAGACAAGTGGAGCAAATTAGAGATTTATTGCCTCTGGTTAAAATTCATATCAAATTTATATGTGGACAGTATATTATTGTTCTCTTCCATTTTCATTTGATTTTTATCAATAGCTAGCGCACAGATGGTAAATAATCACTTAGGCATGGAGAAGCTCAGTAGAACAGGTCAGATGTGTAGCAAACTTAGTCCTGACTTTCTGTATGCAAAATTAAGGGGGTAATGCAAATTTTTTATATTATTTAGAGCCAGATTCTGTGGGTTGCTGAGCTGATCCGATGAGGTCCTGTGGTTTCTCAGTACTTCCCAGGATAATTCCATGTATTGTTCATCTGAACATAGAATATTCTTCGTATTTCTTTCACCATTGCATTTAACTGAACTTTAAAAAAAAATCTTAATGTTTTAAAAGCTCACAATAGTTATAAATGTCAGAAGAACCCTGGGAAAGGTTTTGTTGTCAGCACGATATTATAATTAACAGTATAAGAAAAGCAGATAGATGCCCCAATTCAGCAAGATATTTAAGTACGTGTAACTTTACATATTCAAATAGTTCCATTGAAGCCAATGCATTCACTCACCTGCATATCTGCTAAAGTACCTTGCTCAATTGGGCCCTGAGCCAGTTAAGCCTCCAGGCTAAACCAGTATTTTGGGATCACCCCATTATTAATTGCTTAGGGCAGAGCAACTGCAGTTTGGATGGCCATGTGTGTGGGAGAGGGGGGCTTGGCAGGAGCTGGGAGAGAGATGGAAACATCTAAAGTTTAACCCAGTTCATGTGCACTGAATATATAAACATTTTTCATTTTCAGCAAAGGAATAACAAATGACATAGACTGCCAAGCTCAATACTAGTTTCTGAAAGACTTGTGCTGTTTATATTTAACTGCCAGTGGCTGGCTTTACAAGATACAGAAAAATTACATAACGATGTCTTGGCTGTATCTCAGATGTGCTCCTGGTGTTACGGTGGTCTCCTTAATGAATCATTTTAATTAGAAGCTAAATTGCATAAAACATGTCTGGGCAAAGGAGGGTGGATGATTCAGGGGTTAGGAGTGGGATACCAAGCCTTTTACTTTGAGATCAATGATTCCAATTCAATCCATGTTGATAGTGACCAAAAGTTGTTAGCATCTGAAGCTTTTCAGTGGCCTCTGTGAAATTAGTTGGTGATTTTAGCCTGATTCCTAGTGAAGAGTGACCACATCAGAGAATTATTATCACAACTTGCTCTGATACCTTTGTTGATGGACTTTGAACGACTTGGATGGTGCTGTCCAGAGATCAAGGGCAGAGTATCCTTGGGGCTGGAATATTTTTTTCATATTTACAGGTGGCCCAGCAGGTCAGAGATGAGGTTTATTGAGAGGGAGGGTAATGGGGGGAAGAGAGGAACTTCAGTGACTGGTCTATTACTACTGCACCTCTCATGAGCATTTAATTATGCAGTTGTCCAACTTATGTTTAGTTGCAGTGTTACTTCTGTATAAAAAGATGGTCTCTTTAAAGGGAAAAAAGTTTTTGTCCCTGGGATACTTCAGTTATTAACTCTGATCTTCTTGATGTCCTTGATCATAGAGATGGCCTGGAGACATCATCATTATGTGGTAGCACGGATGTAAATGGTAACTGATAAGAAAGGTCTAATTTCTTCCATCAACAGACTAGAAAGGAATACCCAGTGCATGCTAGATTTAAAGTTACACTGTATACTTCAGGCCAAATCCTGCAGCCTCACTCAGGAAAACCCACACTTCAGTCAATGGGAGTTTTGCGTGAGTAACAACTGCAGAGCTTGCCCTTCAGATAATATAGAATATAGGATATGGTTGGCATAAGGGTTTTGCTTCTGTTGAAACAATCTCAGTATTTGTTCCTCTAGGGCTGAACCAGTGCTCACGAGGATAAAGGAAAACAGAAAAAGGGTCATTTCTCCATCATTTGATAACATCAAATATGATAATTTTGAAATAGAGGAATACCCCCTATCTGCGCAGGGATTTGACTGGGAACTGTGGTGTCGATATCTGAATCCTCCAAAATCATGGTGGAAGCTGGAAAACTCAACTGCTCCGATAAGGTAACATGCACCTGTGACATGGGTTTGGGAATTGTGGAAAGTGCTCAGTTATATGTAACAAATAACAAAGGGCTGGCTGGCTACATGCACTTTATTTTAACAAGGACCAAGGGAGCTGCTTATCAAACAAACCAATGGTTAAATTAGAATAAATGTTCTCACTGTTCTCTGCCACTTTTACCATTGCTCCCTTAGATAATCACAAAAAAGTTGTACAGTCTCATGTACTTCATTTTTATGTAACAAGTCAGAGCAAATATAAAAAAGTAAAAGAGAAGACTTGAATGCTTGATTCAGTGTTGCCGTCTATAAATGTCGTCTGCTAATTTAATGGTAATGATCCAGAAAGACAATGCAGTTTGCAAGTATATTGCAAAAAGGTACAACTGTCAGAGTGATGAATTGAAATCTGATCATTACATTTGTAGTTATATCACATAGTTGTACTATTATGTGTTATAATCACACACAAATCTGGCCCATAGATGTGGGAGCAAGGAATGTGTGAAAACCCCTATTTTTGTATGACCTAGCTCTGTATCTGCCTATTCTGTCTAGAGAACTGTTAAGCTGGTGCAGAAGAGGACCCCTGTCTACTCTATGGTATCAAGGGTAGCGTTGTCTCATGTAAATAAGATTGATGACCTCCAAGCAGTTCTCCATAGATCCTAGTTTTTCTTTCGATGCAGATCCCAAGGAGCTCACTGTGACCTCCCTTCTGGTTTCCCAAAAGCTTTTGCAGGAAGAGACGAGGTGGATGAGACTGAAGTACAAAAATTGCACCTTTGGAAGTGCTGGGGTGGGGCATCAGCAGGTGTTTCTTGCATTCTCTCACCCTGTCAACCTGAGAGCTATCTTTGATCCCACAGACCTGTCTTCTCTGGATGACCGCTCTATTTTGGAGCTGTCAGATGGAATTGTTGGCTCAGGGCTGCATTCGCCCACTCCATCTCCTTGGCCATCACTCTTTACGAAGGTGAGAGGAGGTCCTTAAAAAGGACTAGGAGTCAGGAGATCTGGATATGAATGCTAGCTCAGCCACAGACTTTGTATATAAGGTGGGGATAATAATATCCATCTCATACGGATACTGGAAAGCTTAATTAATGTTGGTAAAGTGCTTGAGAACCTCTGGAAGGTCCTGTAGCTGTGAAAAATATTATTTTTAATATTTTCTTGTTGACCTTTTGAAATAAAATAATTGCAGTTTAGAACAAAGAACTGGTCCTGGTTCTGCACTTCACCCAGTAATTACGTGATTCCTGATGGACAGGGATTAGATTTCACTTTACAATGATGGGCATTTAGATTTTCTCCTTGCAAAATCCTTAAATGAGGTTGAGAGCTGGCCCTTTTCCTGGATTATTGTTTATTTTTGAGATACATTGTACAAAAGTGTCATGTAATAATAAATTAAGTTCAGCATGTGGATAGATAGCTTTAGTAAGACCATTCCCCCAGTAACCAATACGTTATTACTTCAGGCACATAGTGAAAATACAACAGAATTAAAACAAAGGCAAAGGGATTCTTTCCTTCAAAAAAACATTCAGAGACCTTCCTATTCTGTGATAAATTCAGCACTATTTTTTTAGATGCTATAAGGTTGTCTCATATTTTCCTCATTACTAAATACGTCAAATATTTTCTCATTATGTTGAAGTGGTACAGTAATAGTGTAGGATAACACCACACAAATATATAAATCTGTACAAGGAGAGAATTTTAAGTTTTGTGATTAAGCGATCCTATAATCACATGAAAAGCAGATGTCTGCATTTAACACAGCTTGATTGTTCTCTTCCTGATAAATGCAGGATGATTTACCCTATACTCTTGCATTGCTCTGTGTCCTTTCATTAATATCCTGTTGTTCCCAGTGCTCCTTCTGCTCACACTATGACAAAAATGACATTTTTGTTTTTATCAGCATGCAAGGTAAGCTAAAAACACTGTAAAAACTAAATTAATTACTCTATATTCGCCTTCCCTCATAGCGGGGAAAATTATACTCTGTATAGTCAAATCTTCACCATTTTAAATGTGGTTCAGCATTCGTAAGACTGAGTGTCTCAGGATTTTGAAGCAGTAGGAAATTAGTATCAGTAGGACTGGGTGACTCAGTGTAATATGGAGACTCTCACCCCTAGGCCACAGATTCAGATTTGTCCCAGATTAGCAGTGGCTGATAGACATTCATATTTTACAGCATTTCAGTGAAAGGAGTGAGTTGTCTCATACTCACTTCTTGTGTCCATATTACAAAAGCCACCAAAAAAGCCCTGACTCAAGAAAGCATCCATATTCACTAAGAGCTCTTAAGCAGATAGTTAATTTAAGCTCAAAGTTCAGCACACACTTAAATGCTTTCCTGACTAGGGGATGGATTTAAGCATGTGGTTAAATGCATTCCTTCATCAAGGGCAAAATTTGGACTAATTGGTACCCTTGTTGGCAGTCTACGTTGAGAACCCAAGAGCTGCAATAGAGACACTGCAACCCTCTGCCCACAAGAGCCGGTCTCTCCAAAACAGACCTGGGACACGTGGGCAAAACTTTGCAGGGGAGCATCACTCTTGTTGCTCATCCTGTACTGAAGGCTTCAGTTTTCAGCATTGTCAGTCTGGCACCTTTCAATTTGGTTTAAAAAACAAATAGCACAATAAGACAAAATTGGCCAAATCCATCTTGGGTGTAACTCCATTGCAGTCCACGGTCTTACACCCAGTATGGCCCAGTGACGCTAACTACAATCTGTTTGAGTGACAATAAAAAAGGAAGTAGCTTATGTGCTCTCTGACTGTTGTTTTCTGTTGTTCTGTTGTACAGAAGCCCTGCACTGATTGGATGCTTCATAGTAGACAGGGAGTACTTCCAAGAGATTGGCTTACTAGATGAAGGCATGGAGGTCTATGGAGGAGAGAACGTGGAGCTTGGGATCAGGGTAAGAAATGTAACAAACAACAAGCCCTGATAGTTTGTTCTTATAAAATGTGACTTGCCCCACATCATAGGTGAAGAAGCAGACAACAGATAGTAGAGGTAGTATGTGAAGGAGCTATGTAACTGCTGTCCGTCTGTGCCATTATGTAATATACCAAGCCAGCCATAGAATCCTACACCTATGGGTTGTATACGGGAGGGACAGGATGAAAAGCAGTAGTTGGGGAGGGGAGGAAACAAACATGATGTCATTTCACATAGCTGGTAGTGGTAGATGCTATGATGAAGCTTGGAGAAAACTTCCTTGCCCCACTTATAACACTCAGCTATAGGGAGGTGAGGATTCTCAAAGATCTAATGGGGAAGGTTCTCCTAGATTCATCTGTTTATTTAAATTGGGGAGCTCACTTTGGAGATAGCATATTTGCCCTATGTTTCCGCTGTCTCCCCTCTGCCTTTACTGAGGAGTTAAGATATTCATAGAGTACTGAGTTTGCATAGTTCCTCGTATTTTCTCTTTCGTCATACACTGTTCATTTATTTACCATTTGCAATACTCTGTGTGATTTGTGTATCTCATTCTGCCTCTCCTCATGAATAAATACCATCCTGAAAATGCAACATTGCTCAATTTAAGAGATTCTCTCAGTTTTTTGATACAAGTGAAAGACCGATTCTGAGTTACATAGTTGGAGAAATGAAAAAGAGGTTCCATTTGCGTTACAAAATTAGATTTACAAACTCTGCTACTGAAATGTTAGCTGAACATATTGAAGTTTGTGTTTTGTGGCTGTCTGGTCTCTGGAATAAAGATATACACTAGCATAAAGACAAGGATGAATTTCTGTAAATAATGAGAAAATAACTTCAGGTAATGCGTTCAGACTGAGACATATTACAAAACCACTCATTTTCCACCTCTGACTTTCAGATAATCTTTTCCTCCCACTTGTTAGAGAGAAAGCATTATTGCAACAGAAGGGAAGGCAAGGCCCTTGCCAAGATATGTTACCCCCCCACTGGCAGGGAGTGCTAGAGGAGAGATGTGAGCATCCTGCCTTTGATAAAGCCAGTCTCTGCATGCTTAAGGAGAGGGAGCCTGAGTCCATTCCTAGAGCCAGATTTCTCAGCTTGACGTTGCTTGCTGAGTTTTAAACTTCGTGACACTGATTTTTAACTGAATGAGTTATTGTTTCTATGAGAGGGCAAAGAGTTTGATCAGTCGTACTTATGAGACTTTGATGATAATTTGTGTGACAGAATATGGTCCCAATGCTCTCAAGTAATGTACTAGCCTGTCCGGTCTGTTTAGTCCTTGTGAATGTTAACGGCTGAAAATCACTTTGATAGACAGGACTAGACAGATGCACAACATCCCCACCCCACCATAATTGAAATTTTGGAGTATACTGGATTACTGGAATAAGCCCCGACAGTGCTCTAATTTCTTAATATCTATTCTTCTGTCTCCAGGGAAGTGAAGCCTGACCTAAATAAAACACTTTCATGTTTGACATGCCACAGTGTGCAAGGTAGCATAACATATATTGCTTCGTCCAGCTCTATTCTGACTCTGATCTGAGTTCCCAGCTGCATCAAAACATCTGTAATAGACAGATAGCTGAGCAGGTTATTAATGACTCTCCTCACTAGGCTCATCATAACCCAGATAATACCAGGATTAATATACATTTAAAATGCAATATTAGTGCTGCCAGGAATGTAATATTCTTTCTGAAGATGGTAGACTTTGCAAGTGTGCCTCTTCACTTAATCCACTGCTCCCGGTACAGACCTGAGGCCATCTGCTTCCTCGTGGCAAAATGCAGGTGCCTACAAAAAATGCTGTTGTCAGAATATTGTGGGAAATCATGTAATTTAGTTGCAGTCCCTAGCTCTACAGACTGCAGTGTTACTCCACAAAGCTGCCTTTAATTTTCTTTAGATAGAGGCATGCTGAAAACTATGGTCAGAGAAGGATTTAGCTCCAGATGGTCTTTCCCGGCTGGCTAACTTCATTTTCTTGTCTCTGCAGCACCAGAGAGTAATTTCAAGACTTTCTGGATTGCTTTTAACTGCAGGGCCTAAAATGAATCACTTAATACAGGCTGTAATTGTTCAGCAGAAACATCAGCAGTTTGCATTTTATAGATACAGTATCAGTACAATAAATAACATTTTTATTTTAAAATTATAACCTCTACACCAGGGCGCAGATTGCGTCCTCTGTTTCATCTTTCATCTGTACTTTCCTTTTTAGCAGCATATGGCTTAATCCTGACATGTGGCACGCTTTACTATGTAGCCTTGGAGAATCAGCTACCAAGCATGCCTGAGTAAACCCAGTAGCTGGCTTTCCAAGTTCCGAGGTATTGTGTACCACGTATCATACAATATGACGGAGCTCGTTAGCCAGCCAACTTCCTGAGTTTACTCTATGGTTTACCATAGCCAGGAAGTTGTGAGTAAAGTAAATACACAGTGGCCTGTTCCTATTCTGCATGCTGTAATGTGTTCACACAGTGAACAGATGGAATGCCAAGCAGCATTCCTTCCTTCCTCTAGGAAGTCTCGTGTGTGCTGCAAGCCTACATGACTCTACAGGCTCACCTGCCTGCAATAATGCTTGAACAGAATTGCCATCTTCTCCCTGGTAAGTCTTATAAATGTGGAGAATTCAATGTTACAGGGTGCTAGATTATGTGGATGCACAGAAGACAGCATTAATGAGACTCTATTCCACCACCCCCCTCGCACCCGCCCATTCCATAGAGAAGATTGCCATGGTGGGTCTCGGCAGCTCCTTGTGGAAGGAGGACTGTGAGTAGACCAAGGCAAGTACTGTGACCAGAGTCTCCATGTACTGTATGTATGTGGTGAGCCAAAGCCCTGTTTAGTGGGGAATCGGCAAGCCATGTCTGCTACTTTTTCCCATGTCTTGTGTTAGCAGCCATGGCTGGTTCAAACTGAAAATTTATCTCTCAGCTCTGTGTCATTTCCATGTGGAACAAAGCCCTCTTACACTCCCCAGGATTAGTCTGTAATGGGCAAATCTTACCCTTTCCTCTGCAGCCATGAAGTGCCCTGCTCACAGCAGAATGGGTAGGAATGAGTCCTAAGTCAGTGTCATACACACACACTTTCAGACACTGTCACTTGGTGTAGTTTTACAATCATGTATTTTTTTAGTTGATTTTAGAAATTCATGAAAGACCCACATAGACTGCAGTGAAACGGACTATACACACAACACTGTCAAATGCACAAAATAACTGGAGGGGGAAAAACAGAGAAAATTATTCTTCTCCAATTTCTTTGTGATAGTAATCTGAAGTGTTACTTTTAACAGTGTGAGGTAAAATGATTTTCAGGTAGAATATAATTCTGTTTTTTAAATATGTTGGTTTCTCCTTAATTTCAGCTGTTAAAAGTTAACTGAACATGACAGTTTTACTTTCTTGCCAGTTTTGTGAATGGAAAAGCAGTCATTTCTTGTCAGCATGGTTTCATGAAGCAAGAAACAATTTTGTTAACTAACTTTAAATCACGTGAGAGAAAGTTGAGAAACTGACAAAAATTGAGGATCTTGTGAAAAGCGTTCGATACTTTTTAAAGCAAACATTTTGCCAAAAATTATGAAAATTGTTTAGTTTTGCAGCATGAGTGCTGCCAGAACTAGAGATCTACATGGCTACAGTGGCTTTGTATATAATTGATACCGAGACCTTGATGTAAGCAAAAATCATCTCTAAAATGCTATTGGTTTAGGAAACTACTTCATTACGTTGATGTTCTAAAGCCCAGTGGTACCAGAGACTAGTATTCTCTATTTTAAGGGCTGTCATTTCTGTATGATTATCATTTTACCACAAGAAATGATTCTATTGAAAAAGAAAGGAAGAAAGAAAGAAAGAAAGAACTTGCCTCCACATTGTCATGCCTCCAGCTGTGTCAGTCATGACATCTGCAGCAGTTTGCTCTCCATGGTTTATTCTATTTTTGTGTCAAGCTTCCAGTGGAATAATTGTTTTTCCCCTGTTTAGCCCATGAATGCCCCAGCAGGTATCCTGCAGCTACAGCATGTATAATTATACATACAGACAACATTTCCAGTTTGCCAGTGAATCATTTTTACACTATTTCTGGGCAGAGAACATGTTGTTCAAAGCTCCCACAGGAAAGCCGATGATTAATGTAACACCGGCAGATATGTGGTGTAGCATCCCTTTAACATACATTAAAGAGCAAGATGTATTTTAGCTTTCCACTAGAGGCTTTTTGCATTGCCTGCACCGGTGTGGTCCCGTGTTTGTAAATGGACAATAATGTTAACATCTTGTTGCTCCAACAAAGGAAATTACTGCTTGCAATGATAAGGAGAGAAATAACTCAGCTGAAGTCAACACACATACTCACAAATCAGTGGTTACAGGAGAGAAACAAATTTATTAGTGCCTTATCATAAGCTAGCACAAAGTTTAATACTTTAAGGGCAGCTAAAAGTGGTACTGTAACCTCCGGTATCATATAGTATCTCGTGTAGTTGTACAGACCCTTCACTTCACTGCAGTTCTGACTGGGTCCCCTGATGTAGTGCAAGATCTATCATTAATGCAAGAGTTTCTGACGCTGGCATAGGGCACCAGGGACTGGAAAGAAGTCTAAAAAAACTGCATGAAAAATGAGCAGTCACAGTATCTTGTCACACAAACATTAAACCTCTGGTAATTTGCATTGGTTATACACTTTGTTTCCCACCCCACTTTCAGGATAAAAGATGATTTCTTCTGCTTCGTATTTATGGCATAAATTTGGCAATAGAGTGACTTAAGTATCAATTATTTCACTTTGCCTAGCAGCGAGATGGATACATTTGAGAAACAACTGAGTGAAGCTCTTTGCCTTCAGTGACCCTGGAAGCATGTTATCTTCTAGTAACACAAGCCTTGGAGTGGTTTACTGTAATTATAAAACAGCATCCCAACATACATAGTTTAACAA